ACCCTTCGTTTCCACCTCTGAGGGCCCCTTACGACAAGCCGCCAGGCAGGGACTTGGCCCATCTCGAGCTCCTCACGACAGGTTTGATCGATCTACTTCCTAGGTCGTCCCACTGACCTCCACCCAGGGCTGTCTCGTACAGAGATAACCTGGTGGGCAGGATCATCCTGTGGGAAGCAAGCCAGGTGGTTGTATAGTCTGAGTTGGCGATCACGGATTATGCAAGAAACAGGTCCTGTGCCAGTCTCACAATGCAACCATTGGTTGGACTCATGGTCCCGCCAACAGTACCCGATGATCCAGGCACTAGGGTCTATTACAAAAGACATCAAGATGAGACTCCAAGGTGCAAGATAATGTCCAGGTTTCACTACCGTATAGTAAAACTGGCATTATCAGGGCCTTGAAGACGTGTAGATTGGTCCTTCTGCACAGGTACCAGCATCTCCAAATACCCTTGTTGAGAGAGTTCACAACCCCTGCTGTCAGGCCAGTCCTTCTGCTGACTTCCTAGTCTGACAGCCCAGAGTTATGAACTACACTACCAAGGTATGTAAAGCTCTCTGTGACTCTAATGTTCTCGCTGCAAGCACATAGCAACCATGCAGGTTCTCCGAGCAAGATCTTGGTCCAGACCTCTAGGCCTAAGGGCTTTGCTTCATCACTAAATGCAGCCAAAGATTCAGATAGAATGGCAAAGTCAAGGTCAGTAACCTTGATATTGCTCAGAGTTGCTCCACATTGATTTTGAATAGTAGCTCTACCCAGTATTCAGTCCATGCTAGTGTTGAAAAGTGTTGGTGCAAGGACACAGGAAAGAAGATCAACAGGCCCCACCACACTTTACAGCATTTTATGTACCGGTATACAGGCTTGCAATTAGTCCAATAATCCTTGTTGAAATTCTTCTCGAACTCTGGATCTCCCTGAGTGATTCCCGATGCACTGTATCGAACGCCTTCTTGAGGTCGATGTAGGCTACAAGCACTGCACTCCCGAACTCCTGGCAGTGCTCTACAATGACTCAAATCGCCAGGTTATGGTCTATTGTGGACTTACCAGGAGTGAATCCAGATTGCTCCGGCCTGTGGTGCCTCAGTAGGTGGTCTCTGGTATGTCTCAGTAGGATGTGGGCAAGAACCTTGCCTGGTATACTGAGTAGTGTGATGCCTCGGTGACTGCTGCAGTCCCATTGATCTTTCTCCTTCCAGAGAGCAATGACCACACTCTTCAACAGGTCAGGGGGAATGCTAATGGACTGCCAGATGGCATCCAGAACAGCATGCAACCCCCCTGCCATAGGTTCACCACCAGTCTTTAACAGTTCAGCTGGTATGCCGGAGATACCTGCTGCTTTACCACGCTTCAGCTTGGAGATTACCCCTCCTACCTTCAGTTAGGGAGGTTGGCTCCTTACTGATGGGTGGGTCCGGCAACAGAATCTCGACACTACTCGCATCCAAGTTAATTGTTGGAGGATTAACCTGGTACAACTGCTCAAAATAAACCCAACGCTCGCACACCACAACAGGATCTGAGGCGACCTGGCCGCTCTGCTGAGGGGACTGCAGTCACTTGTGAAGAGGGCTTGGTGTTTAGCTTTCTCAGGGCTTGGTATGAAGGACGAAGGTCATTTACTAAGAAATGGCCTTTGATCTCCTCTGTAAGACTCCTGATACAGTGTTCCTTGTTCCTTCTAAACAGTGACCGAGTTCTGTTCACCTGATGATGGTGCAAATCCCGTTCTCAGTATCTCCTGCGAGATAAAATGCTGTATTGCTCTAGGACGTTCTTGAGCTGCATCAAGCGTTTCACGCTTGGTTTCCCAGAGAAGTACAGGGTAAGTCAGATTGTCGAGCACTGAAACGACTAGAGATTGCCTCAGCAAACCTCTAGGCACACTCCCCCTCCCTCAGCCTGTCCAAATGAAACACCCTAGAGTGGTCATTGGACCAGTGGGTTTTGAAGTAGACCCAGAATAATACGAATATCTCACCAAGAACAACTGTCTGAAACATATGCAAGTTTAACAAAGAACATCTTTTTCATGTTGAGTTTACAAACATTGGTAGGAGCATACACAGTAATAAGAGACATGAAGCTAAATGCTAACTTTATTCTCAATACCATCATATGCTCATCAACCAGAGTAACCTCTACTGCCGAGAGCTGGAGTTTGCTGGAGATGACCAGTAATAGGTGTAGCCACCTACACTAATCGTGCTGCTGCCAGGTCTTCTCACTTCCAAGAGAGTAGCCATCTCAACTTTCAGCCTCCCCAGTTCTCTTGACAGTAGTGGCAATCGATCATCCTGACACTTCCTGCGTGAGGTTTAGCCTCGGGCAGTCACTCTGAGTGGACGCCAACTCTGCCACCCTTGCCGACACTGCTCCATATTAAGGGGGGCGGCAGGTTGCGGGACCCAACATCCACCAGTAGGGTTCCCTTAGGCTTTCCCCTACAAGCTTCGCTCTGGTTTGGCGGCTGCCAGAGCGCAGG